AAGCGTCCTCTTACGACTGTCTCACACAGTTGGCAATATAGATGTGATACAGCCCGACATCCTTTTTTTTTTCCTCACTTTACTGAGGTAGAGAGGTTTTCGTATCACCAATAAAGTAAAGAAACTTATAAACGTACGTATCTCCGAGGATCCGGGTCCAGGGGAATTTGTCAACGCCAGCCAGCTCAATGGCCAGCTATCTCATGCATCACTTGACTCACACCTGCACATCCTCACACACTCACACACACACAAAAGCAACTGCGTGTGATGATATACCACACACCTGATGTTGACTCAGCAACATGCTTCTTGTGCTATTTTTATTACTACCATTGTTGCTACGGTTGCTCCTGCTGACCATTCCACCATGACAGCTCTGTGTGTTTTACAGGACCTGCCCTGGATGGTGGCAGCTTTGCTTAATCAGTATTGTTATGTAACACTCAGCATCATTATAAAACTTCAACATGCCAAACACTGCACACTCATAAACGTTTCGATGCCACTGACGAGATCACCTGTGATATGCCAAGTACAGTACTGCAACACAACAGTGAAAGCAGGCGACTTTTGAACCGGTTTTATCTGCCCCTTGACTCCGACAACACACACCGAGTCACATCCCGGCAGAGCATGACGCATTGCTGCTGCCGAATGAAATAACGTACTTATAATGTTAATCAAACACTTCTTGTGTACAAATCCTTTAAAACAACGTTGTCCTAGTGATGTTTCTTGTATGATAGAAAAATAAACTGAAGATAATACCAGTGTCAAGGATATTTATTCTTGCATACTAGTGTTCTTGTGTTGAAGACTATATAAAGTTTAATTTATTGGTTGCCCCTCGTGTTCTAGGATGGCTGGCCCTCGGGCCACCTAGGCGCGAGTTTGTTTAAGGTGTAGAAGCTATAGCCAACACCACAACCATTCCCTAAGTTAGCGAATTGCATGACCCAGTGTCAAGGAATAGTCCGAGAAGACCGGACAACTCGCCAACTGCACTGGCTAACCAGTACCTCTGCATACGATCCGCAAATCGATTAACAACCAAAATACTACGCAACAGCACCTCAAGACGTGTACAGTATATACATTATCAAAAGTCGTGAACAAACATGTACAGCTGGGGAAAGTTCCAAGTGCTATACTTTCCCACAAATGTGAACCCCGTCAGCGTGAGACCAGTGAATCGCAAATCACCTGATGGAGTCCATCATCTGGTAACAGTGGGTAGGGGGTTGAGTGGGAGGAGGTGGTTTGGATATGGGGGTGTGTGCACCACCCCCAACCGTCCACCTCATTTCCCCCTCTCCCTTACACAGTGTTACCAGAATAACGAAACTCTACCAGCTGCTTCGAGCTCACTGGTATCCCATTTATTGGGTTCGAATTCGTGGCAGACTGTAGCACTCGGAAATTTCCCCAGCTGTACCATCGAATGACTTGAATCACTTGGATCAAAATAATGGTATCATTCCAATAATCAAATGTGTCCAAGATCTACGGAAGACCAAAGCCTCTGCTGAGTTTCACGAAAGCCCGTCCACCACTCCCACACGAAGACAAGACACGAGATACAATAACACGCGATTATCTAATATCCCCTAAAATGCATTTGGAAACATAATTAAGGCAAATATCTTTATAGCACAGTAAGAATTATGGTGTGGAGTACAGGTGTGTAGGATGATAGGTATTGCACAAGTGTGGGATATAGTAGTTATTGTACAGGTGTGGAGGGTAACTACTGTTGCGCAGGTGTGGGAGATAACAGATTATTGTACAGGTATGGAGGTAACACTCTCTGCACAGGTGTTGGGTAATTGTACAGGTGTAGGATAGGAGGTATCGTACAGGTATAGGGGTAGAAGGTATCGTAAAGGTGTAGTGGTAGCAGGTATGATACAGGTTTATGGATAACAAGTATTGAACAGATGTTGTGAGAAAGTAGATATATTCAATGTAGGTGTTGTGGGGCAGCAGGTACTGTACAGGTGTACAGACAGCAGATACTGTACAGGTGTACAGACAGCAGGTGCTGTACAGGTGTGCAGACAGCAGGTACTGTACAGGTGTGCAGACAGCAGGTCAGGTACTGTACAGGTGTGCAGACAGCAGGTCAGGTACTGTACAGGTGTGCAGACAGTACAGGTGTGCAGACAGCAGGTCAGGTACTGTACAGGTGTGCAGACAGCAGGTCAGGTACTGTACAGGTGTGCAGACAGCAGGTCAGGTACTGTACAGGTCTACAGACAGCAGATACTGTACAGGTGTACAGACAGCAGGTACTGTACAGGTGTGCAGACAGCAGGCATTACTACAGGTGTACAGACAGCAGGTATGTACAGGTACAGACTTAGCAGGTACTGTAAAGTGTGAATGAAGGCTATACAGGTGTGCAGAGAGCAGGTACTGTACAGGTGTGCAGACAGCAGTAAAGGTGTTAGAATGTGGAGTACACAGGTGTGCAGACAGCAGTGTGCAGACAACAGGTTGTACAGGTGTATACAGACAGCAGGTCAGTATTGTACAGGTGTACTGGGTGTGCAGACAGGGTCAGGTGCTGAACAGGTGGCAGACAGCAGGTTAGGTACTGTACAGGTGTATAGACAGCAGTTATTTTACAGGTGTATGGACAGCAGGTATTGTACAGGTGTATGGACAGCAGGTATTGTACAAGTATACAGACAGCAGTTATTGTACAGGTGTATGGACAACAGGTATTGTACAGGTGTATGGACAACAGGTATTGTACAGGTGTATGGACAACAGGTATTGTACAGGTGTGTGGACAGCAGGTATTGTACAAGTATACAGACAGCAGTTATTGTACAGGTGTATGGACAGCAGTTATTGTACAGGTGTATGGACAGCAGGTATTGTACAGGTGTATGGACAACAGGTATTGTACAGGTGTGTGGACAGCAGGTATTGCACAGGTATGCAGACAGTATTACTGAGAGCAGATGTCTGTGTTTAATATAAAGAACAATCACTTCATCAAAAACTCCGTGTTTCCTTCCAAATGAATCGGTAACGAAACTAAACGAGACAATGCAACGTCAGCTGTGCTGAATTCCTGAACTACAGTACATAACACCATTGACCGGTGAACATTCTTGGTTTCCTTCATGGGAGTGGAAGACAGGAGGGGCGGCCTTAAGGAAGAACCAGATAACTAAGAGGCGCCATTCCCATTCCAAGAATACTACAAAAAGTATGATGAAAAATGACTTTTACATATTGTGATACACTCTGGACTCGATCACAAGAAATACTATAAAACACGCCAATTCTAAGAGGATGGTGAAATGGTATATGAAGTAAAAAATCATTTGATAATGGCATAAGGGAATTCAAAATTCCGTAATTTAATTGAGTTAATGATATACGGAAGTCACTATCTACAAAATCACTGGATCGAGACAATTTCCCGAGTGACTTTATACAGCAAACGTGATCCAGATCTTTTACAACACAGGAGGTAACGACGACTTACTCAGTTAGCAAGGACTTGAGAATCCTGAGCAAATACAAAAACAACGATATCTGATATAAAAACTGACTTGGAAATACTTTCATCTACCTAGAAAAACTAAATCACATTAGTCTTCCATCTCGCTTTACTCCCATAAATTTTTTCGTAAAGGTTAAGGAGGAAGTCGCCACTTATACCGCATTATAAATTGGCAGGGTCTCAAGGATGTGTGTTCAAAAGTAAAAATGCTTCTTAGGCGGGAGAGGATTAAATAATGACTATTAACTTACAGTAGTACCTGTAGAAGAGTTCATACAAAACAGTAACAGTTTGTGGGGATACGACGATTGGCGACAGAAACCAGCTAAACCTAACCAAATCACTAGATATATAATATCGTTAAGTTTGGTTTAGTTGGTTTGCACTGTCTGTCATCATTAGTGGCTTAGAACTTCAGCCTTCCTGAAGGAGTCTTGATGGCAAGATCATAAAGTTCTTAATGAAAACTGTATATATTTCACATTGGCTACATTTTTTTTCTCTGCCCTTTCAGATAAAACATCTATTCATTACAAGAAATGTGTCCGAAAAGATTCTGCGTTCACCCCCCCAAAAAATAAGTGGCGACCCTCTCCTTGACCTTAACCAACAGTTGTACACTCATACTAAAAAGTATCGGTGCAGGGTGTGATCGACGACTTCCGAAACGATATGTATACACTGTGATATGTCGGGAAGGTTGGTAAGTGTATCCTCATAACCCCCCCTCCCCTCCCACTAAGTGTTGCCATATGGCTGACACTCAGGGGGGTTTGTTTCCTCTTTTCGGATTGTTGCTTTGTGTCGATTGAATGATGAGCGAGGGTTCGGTCTCGGTGAACGTGGATATAAAACAGAGGCAATATGTAGCAGTAGAGATCTACACATGCCAGACGACATGGAAACCTCAGAGGGAACACGAGGAGCTATTATTGCCCTTCATAACGAAGGGTTCGGCGTCACAGCGGGTTGGTGTCCACAGGAACACTGCTGCATGATGGATTCGGCGATACCTCGAAACTGGCGCTACAGACGACAGGTCTCGGAGCGGCCGTCCACGCTGCACCACGACCAGGTTGAGTGGTTTATTTGGTAGCATAAATTAATGTGGCAATATTCACAAGTACCACAAATAACTTTAACAGGGAGCTCCTCATATTTCATACTGTCTATTTATCACTTCCCGACCTTATTTATAACGGTTTGTTTCACCTGACCAGGCCATAGTAGCTGCTCAGCAGGATTACAGGGCTGCCAACATACGGCTGGAACAACTCGCCTTTCCCAATACCTATCGTCACTGGTCTCAAATTGTTCACACTACAGTATGCACCGATACTTTTTGTTGCGAGTGTACATTTTCAACTAACAGGATCAACCACGATAAAAGGTTTTTTTTTTGCTAACACCAAAAATTAATAGACACACTTATACTTATCCATGGTGTCATAATTAGAGCAATAGAAGTAGTACTCACATTGCCCTGGTGGTAGAGGAAGCCTTGGCATCACCCGTCATGTCTTGGGCCAGGAACCATCCTGCCTGAAACAACATTCATGGATGAGGTCACGATTCTGTTTTCATTTCTCTAATTATATACAACTTTATTTATATTTATATTTAAACTAAAATTCTATAAACAGTAACACAAGAGATGGTGGATACTTCCATCCCTCAACACGGATCAGTACACCTCTTTGATACAGCTTGACACAGCGAAGTAAAATCAGTAATAATCGTCAGAATGCCAAAGAATAACTCTCACAAATCTAGTGAAAATTTTCTGATGCTGTGATTCTTATTTGGTTAATTAGGACTATTCTTCTACAACATTTTCTCTAAATCGAGGGATGCCAAATAGTGATGGATGTCACATCCGCATCCATGGACCATCTAAAACATTTCCACAGGATGTGGATGTTGCAGATAATTATAATTATAATATAGTATTTACATAAATATTTGTTTAATATATAAATATTTTCAAGCACACACACATCTGGATAACAACACACATGGCTCTCAAGGCTACTGGGGCCAGATTTCGGTAATTTTTCGTTAACCACCCATCACCTTTTTTCACATGAAAAATACACTTTTTAACTGGTTTTATTGCTGTTTTAAATGATTCTGACGTTTATATTTGGGGCAAATCACTCTATTTATGTTAAGTTAGGTTAGGTTAGGTCTACGTACTAACCTAACCTAATCTAAGAAAAAAAAGTGATTTGCCCCAAAGATAAAAGTCAGAATGATCTAAAACAGCAATAAAACTAGCTAAAAAATTTATTTTTCATGTGAAAAAAGGTGATGGGTGGTTAACGAAAAATGACCCAGATTTCAGCATAAATAATCTATTTATGTGTTGTGTTCCATCTATCTGCGCGTGATCCATGCATATGCTAATAACCACCTGGGGCACAAAGGAGTAATTAATAACAAGGCCAATAAATACAGTGAAGGAGAGTGCGATCAAGTCCCTAGGGACAGCAGATGTCCACCATATTCAAGTCATTAAGTAGTTACCCAAACCTTTCACCTGGTTACAAATCTTTTTAATGACAAAATTATCCAATTTGTACATGCCGGCAAAGATCTTATAACTAGACTTAAACAGTATAAAATACAGTGTTAGGACAGGCCAGGAATGCAATGCTTTGTTCATTCATATGAGAGATAATAATCATTGCATTGACTGGGCTAATGCCTCCTCAATCTTACTTTGTAGTTCAATTTAATTATCAGTAGGAACATAATAGAATTTAGTCTCATTAAACATACAGAATCTGTAAACATGAATTTAAGTAATGGCATGTACAAATTGGACAATTTTGACATTATAAGAAGATTTGCGTGTTCTTGGCGTTTAGGAGAAGTTGTCTTCGATATATAACTACAGTAGTCAGAAATAAGTGGTTTATGTGTAAAAGTAACGAGAAGTAGAAGTAAATTTTCCTGCAAAGTTTCACACGAAACTTCTATTACTAAGTGGGAGCCTCGTATAACATGACCCAAGACTGTTGTAATGTTGGTCCAGCATGATTAGATTAGGTATTCTGGGTTAGGTTAGATTAGGTTTAAATAATTTATTTCCTGTTGTTTGAAATTATTTAGTCTCGTAGTGTTCGACCCGATTGCAAACGAACTTAAACATTTTCACCAGTTCGCTTACATACATATCATGGGACGGAAGCCATGTTTATTGTCATATCTGATTCGGTTAGGCTAAATTACCGGTCACGGCAATAGTGACAGGCTGTTTGGGGCTATTTTGCCGGTCCATTGTTGGCCACTGTTAACCACTGCCTAACTGATTAAACCATTTATGACGACAAAGGAACCAATCAAACCTGACCTGGCCCACCTAACTATGATTCACATTTGTTAAATAGCTTATATCTGAGGCACAATTGTTTATCAATCCCAGTTTACAACATTTCTTTTCTCACTCAACCAGCTGACAATGTTAACATAAGAAAGGAGTGAAGGGATTACGGTTTCACAAAAGTTAAAATTTTTCAAACATTCACTTTATGTATTATTCCTCAAGAAGATAATGATTTAACCGTATTTAAATCATTTTTACCTATTGTACAGAAACCTCTACAGTCCTTTGTTATGTTTTCACTCAAAGAAGGTGAACTGAGACGCCATATTGTAAACACACTAGTAGCAAATTTGTTTATATCCCATTTAACTCTAACAATATATCTACAGAATGTATCCCGTCAAGTAATGCTTTCCGAAATGTTATTTGTGTTTTATCGTGAAGTAATTTGTAAATTATAGGGGGATAAGGTAATGTTATATAGTCTTAGCAGTTGGTTGTGTTATGGATTGAGTCAACTCCGGCCCACAACAACAACATCTTCACTGTGCATCCTCATATTTAACAAATTAACCTCAGCAAATAAAACCCGTGTTGACCACCACTTACCTCTTGATTTTATATTCCTCACCAACGACGACACAATTCACTGTGACACTTGTTTACATGGCAACAGCTGTAATGAAACTGACCGTCGCGGCTCATAAATCTGATTCATAAAACAACTGAAAGCAGATGTCGGAGCTTCATGGGACTGAATGAACCTGTCTCATTACTATAAAAAGATAAGCGTGATAACATTTCTTTATTACATTCATGATAAGAGAGTATAGTAACTAAATATTATTTTCTACAGTATTGGTTCCATAACTGTATGTCTTTATTATAATAAAACCTTGCTCTCACATTAGTGATTTGTGTATAAAGTCGCCAGGCGTGAATAGCTGCACTTGTTGGAACACTCCCGGAAGCAATACTTGGCGCCGGGTTGAAAATCAAAACTGAACCAGAGGACTCACAAGGTTCGCTCCAGCGGTTCATTCTGATTGCAGAGGACACGGACTTTTTGAGGTGACTACAGTTGGGGTCAAAAGTTCACTCCTGCCCAAAATGAAGCAGCATCGTCCCCAAATGAAATGAACAGTCAGGCTAAGTCAGTTCGGAGACTCATTCCCGTGACTCAGCTTCACCACGGGGAGCAAACTTTTGTCCCCGACTGTTCCTTGATGCTAACCAGTAAGAATGTGTACTGTTTCCGTACCTATAATAATCTCTCTCTCTCTCTCTCTCTCTCTCTCTCTCTCTCTCTCTCTCATTAGTTTAACATGAAGCTAGTTTAATCTTTGAAGGAAGGGTGGGAGTGGTTAAAGTCTCCTGTCAAAGGTTGTTGTGAAAGTCCAATCCGCATGAGTGTGAGCTATAAGTGCTTGTGTTTGGTAACAGTGTACCGCCCGAGCAAGTGAAGATAAGAGAGTTCATTAGGTGATGCACTAACTACAACAGATAGGAAACTGATAGATATGGTATCTGTCACAAGATTAGTGCAGTTCGTCCTGGCTGGCCTCGCTTGCATCACTACACTCATTTCGTCCAATGGTTCAGTGGTGCGTCCAATGTTCCATTCATTCGTGACTAAGCTGAACAATACCAAGCGATCGACAAGTTGTGGATATGGTGAGAATAATTTCTAACTGATCATGATATCCTTTTTTTTTTATTATTATTTCTCTATTATCTAAACGTTCAGTAGCATTGACTGATTTCATTTATTTATTAATTAATTATTTATTTATTTTGACGAGAGAAGTGTTTAGTTCAGGCCCCATCCTTCTAAAGATTCAATAAATATTTTGAGATTTTTTATTGCGCTTCCTGAAATTTGCTTTACCTGCGTATTCTCGTGAGGAGGCGGGGGGCGGGTAAGGAGCCGTCACCATCTGGGCCTGGAGTGGCGGCTGAGAATGGGTTGTCATTACAGTGAGAATAACACATAGTAACCAGTAATAAATATCGGAGTGTGTATAGGAAGTCCACCGTCTCTCTCAGGTCACCCTAGGCCAAGAACTACTAACAACATCCTACAGGTAACACTGGACAGTAGCAGAAAACATTGATCTCAACTGTGATCTGCAGTGTACATATAAAACAGTAAGTGATAACCGCTTCTCTTTCTCATTAATTTCTGTAGTTACATATGAGTTCATTTTATTTTTAGAACGCCTGAGAGAACAGAGAAGCGTGTTATACCCTCAGTGTGGTACTGCACTGGTCGGACTCATGCTCCCTGTTGTCCAGCGTCGCCTCTTTTAAACATGAATCCACTTTTCTCGGCAGAAGTTTACAGACAGTGTTGATGTTACTTCAATCATAAACGACGTCTTAAACAGAGCATATACGAGTGAGTAGTAGTAGTAGGTGTGGTGGTGGTGGTGGTAATGGTGGTGGTGTCACTGTGAATGTCAGGTTGCCAGATGAGGGGTATATGTCCTAGTAGGTGAAAAAAGTGTTGTCAAAGTGTTTCTAAAACGCTATAACCATATTTCTGATTTTCTGATGTTGTTGGTTAAATCTGGAACGAAAAGTACTTTAACCAAATACATATTTTTCAGACATAACCGAAAATATGATGATGAGTTAAGATAATGTTCGTAGGAACTATCTCTACGCTATACTCCATACTTCCCTGCTTATCATACCCAACCCCTAAGGTGTAGATAAACCAGAACCACGGGACTAATTATAATTTTAAGTCATCTAAATTCTTCAAGGTGTCAGCAGAATATATCAGCCCTGTCATATTCGTTGTCAGACATACTGCACATGACCCCGAAGCTCCCCAGCAACACTCAGAGCTCAGTGTGGCGGTAGTCTCGCTGATCAATGCCGCGGGTCAGCTGAGCAAGCATATTGAACGACCTTGAGTATAATAAATATTCACGAAAAGTAAGAGTTCAAGGACAGTCTCATAATGTACACACACACACACACACACACACATACACACAACAGTCCCTTATCTGGAGTAACTGGTGTGAACAAGTCTTTTTAAGTGAGAACTACTTTTTACTTCACCAAAGTCTCTAACAATGATTTTTTTCCGGTTACTCGTGCGATTTTCCTGATTCGGATTATACGACAATCATAATCTAAACACAATCCCAGGAAAATGAAGAGAAATAGAAAGCCAAAAGATGAAAAAATAGACATTTATTACTGTATTTTCCTCTATATAAATCTGTTCAATTTTTCTTACACAGTGGAAGGTATCTGGCAGCACGGAGTTGCTTCCACCACTGGAGGCTGCAGGTAAGGTGACAGAACTGAACACGAGTAACTGGAGATGATAGAAGTTCTAGAACAGCTAGATAAAAACTGGATTACTCTAAAATCGGGTATTGGACGTTTCCGGCTGAGGGAAGTCCGTATATAAGAGGAACTTATTGTGTATATACACCTAAATGTAGCGCCAATCTAGTGCAATACATCAGAATGATATACTTCACTAGACATAACATATCAAAGGATTAAATTTGATAAAGTCAGTACATCTAGTTAAGAGGACCAAGTCTCGGTGTCATCATGGAGGTAATGGAGGAGGAGCACGACACTGTATTGATCTGTGTGGCGTGAGGGGGCGTCTCCCACCCTGGTCGCCTGAGTGGGGGATTCATGCTGACCTTTGTTCTGTTTTACGTCCTTGTCTACATTTGTTCTCTTCATTGGCACCACGATGTGAGTTACCTTCAGTGGGTTCAGTAGCTTTATGAGTGGTGGTGAGACACTCAGTAGTTTCTGGCGTTACAGGAAGTGTTGCGTCAGGATCCTTACCCGTTGACCTCTGAGCTCCATGAGAATCACCATATTGACCTGTGTTCATAATGCCTTACAGTGACAGTCGTTACAAGGGCTTTATACAGAGCCAGTAATGTCCTTATATTATTACATGAGCATTATTTATGTGAAAGATGAGGACTATGAGTCAAGGCAGGTGAGGCTGAGTGGGATGCACCTCCCCCCCCCCTCCCCTTACCCGCCATGACGCTGTTTATATAACTGGTTCATCCTGGCGACTACCTAGTACTGATGTTTACTGTGTTGCTACATCTTGGACTGGTGCTGATACACAATGTTGACTGGTGCTGTTCCTCTTGGCACCAAGGCTGTATTTGTTTGCAATGCTTCATCTGTATTTATTAACTATTGTACATAGTTTCGTTATGACAATGTCAGCACTTTGATGATAGAAAATACTTTATATAAATGGGAGTCGCCCCAGTATTCTCCAGTAACTTAAAAAGGACTTTCTTCGTGTGTGTGAGGATGACGCGCCTCATGACGCAGTAAATGGGTACTGGTGACAGCTGATAACTCTGTTAACGATTTTCATAAAACGTTTATGGGACTATAAAGGATATGTGAGCGTGAGACCAGCAAGCCATTGCCATTTTATCTCCATTATCATCATCATCACCCAGCACAACACACACTCACACTCCTTCATAGTTTAAGCTACAGTTCACCAGGTCTTAATACATTACCAAACCCCCGAACACCGAATCCCTCAACACTGAACCCCTCAACACCAAATCAATAAGCATCGAACCCCCCAAACACTAACGCCAGGAGTTTTGATCACCCTTTTCTGTTGACGGGAGTTGTTGTGTTTACAACCAGAGTTTAAAAAAAAAGAGTCACGAAGGACACCACACTGCAGTGCTTGACGGGGAGGTGTGGCGCTAATATTAACGAACTCCAATATTATAAGTTAGTTTTGCCACCACACCTCCCTGTCCAGCACTGCAATGCGGTGTCCTTCGGGAACCTCTTGTGGAAATTATGAAACAATATTTCTCAATAATGAAACCTGATGTCTCATAGTTTGTGATAATTCTACTAGTAAAGACTCAATAACCTGGTTTTCAAAATATAATGTAAGTTATTATATTCTTCCAAGATTTAAAACACCCACAGACCAGGTATTTCATTTTTTTAATATCCATACGAGAATAACTGTAGTTATCCCTGAGTCTAGTTATCCAGTTTTCTGTCATATTTCAGTGTCGGATATATATGTGTCATATCTATGTCTCTTAAGTATGTTTCATAAGTGTTCCTCATATTCCGTGTCTCGAGTATCTCATTTTTGCGTGTCATGTAAGATTGTATCACATGTGCGTGTCCACAAATACCTAATTAATTCCATCCACGTTAATTAGTGATTCAGTAAGCCTCAGGTGAAGTTTTTATGCAAAGAAATTAATCACGGCTCTGAGACTTACGGTAAATAAATCATGACGTGTATAAAGTATTCGTTGTCAGTTTACATGAAATAGATTTTCTTTAATTTCATATCAATGGATCTTTTTTTCTCTCCCTTGGTACAGTTGATATACACATCGGCCGTGGCGACAACTATGGCGTTATAGTGACAAGTTTATGGCGTCATAGCAGAAGTACTGGAGATCGTGCAGGTTTGATATCATATTGTTTGAGGTGGCCTCCTGATCCACTATGTGTGGCCTCCTGGGACATGGGTGTCAGCCTCTCACAGTACACAGTCGTCCACCTAATACATAATAACAATGGCCAGAATTTGTTTATTGATAATTCGGATAACGACCAAGTTATATATTTATCTTCTTTTTTTTTTTTACTTTTCTCTATCCGTCTTTTTACCCATTTACCACTTTTTTTCCTTACCTTTGTTTCCATGTATCTATTTATTTACATATCTATCATGGATTGAGGCACACGAACACAAGAAACGAAAGAATTTATGTTTTTTTTTTGTAATCGTTGGAGAAAAAGAATTAAAGAAAGAGGAAACTAATAGAGGTGGAAAGGAAGAAAGGGAAGAAAACAAAAGACACAACTAAAACAATGTGTCTCTTCCTATAGTGGGTGGGAGGGGGGAGTGGGAGGGGGTGTGGGGTGGGTGTGGGAGAGGAGGGGTGTAGGAGGGGAGGGGGCTAATAATAACAAAAAAATCTCCAGGAAGGAACCTAACACGCTTGGTTAACGCTTCAAACTGTTATACTTCAGCATCACCAAGTCTCCTCCTCTCCCCCATCACCATCATCATCAACAACAACAGCATCTACAGAGTCCTTCCTCCTCAGTTGTTAACTTCAGCACCGTAATCGTCAGTCATCTCATTCATAAGACGGGAAGTTCCTCACAAAAGAACACCCTACTTAAGTGTGCTCCTATGACACAGTAAGTGGCCAGGTTGGAGCACTCTTCACCTAGTTAGAGAAAATGACACTTTACTCGATCCCTGGCCCACACACACACACACACACCACCAGCTGCACCTCCAAGTTACATATAAAACTGATTAAACTAATGATAATGCAGCCTTTCTTAAGTATATTTGTAATTTGGTAAGTTAAAAACTGAGTATATACTGTGAACGGTTATAGTTCAATTGAGCATCATTCTAAAAGAGCTCATACCTAACATAACCTACCCATCATAACTGGGACCCATTAAAAATTGGCCCAAATCCAATTGTGTAAGTTAGATTAGGTGATGTTAGGTTAGGTTAGGTTTGGTCAGGTTAGGTCATGTTTGGTGAATGTCCTCTTTGAAATTATCGTAAAATATTGTGTTGGTGATGAAGTTGCAGGTTTCCTTTCCTGTAATTTACGACTCGCCTTCCCTTTCACTTTTTATAACGTAGTTTAGCGGTATACCTTGTTTTTCTGACGGTGGCTGCCCCAGTTAACTCGGGAAGAAACTTTCACCTAACAGTCACATATCTCCGTTGTTAAATGTTTTGTGAGGACGAGGTTTTTTGCTTGGCTTTGGTGAGGTAAAAAAAAAAAGGCGTGAGGGAACTGAAGCCATTAAGTGTAGGAGCCTCACATCAACATGGTTTATAGTTGACTCTTGTGTAGTGTTTAAAGCTACTTGTAAACACTACACAGGAGAAACAATTAACAAGAATTACTACGACAAATTATTACACTTCTGGTCAAAGTTTTCTGCAGAAGATTATGAAGAAGGATGAAACAACAAATTATTTTATCAATACAAAATATTAATGAAAATATATAACTGAATATATACTAAATATATATTAAATAAACATATAGTATACGCTACAATTACTGTTGATATAAATTAACCTAATGCATCATAATGCCAGGGAGAAGCTAGGACTCAAGCCAGCTACACTCAACTTTCTACAGGAAATGGGAAAGTCTCCGCTGTACAGTATATGTGAGGTCACAGGTATGATAATGGAACCATGAGACTTGAAACATGTACAAACACAAAGGAAAATAAAAAAAAGGCTAGAGCAGTGATACCGTATGGATAAACAAATATCTTTATTTACATATAATTTACATATCACTGATTACTAATTTGTTTACGCTCCTAAGACCTTCGTTGTTGAAGCGCAGTGATAACATTGTAACAACACCCATCTACGTACACTAACTAAACTTAACCTATTACTACTAAACTGAAAAAATAATCATAATAAAAAATACAGTAACTAATATATTAACCGAATATATCTATATATTAGTTTAGTTTACTCTAAAGTTTTCTTTATTGAGTTACTCAAAGAAAATTGTAACATTGTAATGTAAACTAAACTAAACTGTGGTTATACTTGTATAGTTAAAGTTTGTTATTTATTTAGTTAATCAATCATTTAGTTATTGAAATATTTATTTGTTTATTTAGCTACTTAACTAATGTAAGGACAAACAGACTATTAGGAGTTAGAGAAACATACTCTCTCAGCTTCAGGAGTGGTCAAAGTAATGGCTGTTAAGATTCAAAGTCACGAAATATAAGATGATACACCAAGGTCGTCCCAACAGTAAAGAGGCGTATCACATACTAAGAAACTACTTAAACAGAGACCAAATGTGAAATGACCTTAGAGTGTGTGCAAATCGACAACGAATTTAAGTTTTCGGACCAAAGTGAGAAGAAGGTGAATCAAGCAACTAAGCCAGTGGGTCTTATAAGACTGGCGTTCACACACCTATTCCCTTTCCACACTAACCTGGTCCGTAAGCCACGCCCCTCTTCTATAAAAATAGGTGCTTGGTTCATATAAAATGTTCGTTTAGCTGTGCATTTATTCAAGCTAAATATGTTCACATTTGGTAAGCAGAGCAGGTTCAGGTACATTCAGGAGCCGGTGCATGCCCAGTACTTGCCAACAGTGCGTAACAGAGACGTGACAGATCGCCCAAGCGGCTAACGAGCCGATCAGTGGTGAAGAGGAAAGAAGAAAATAGATATTCTTTAAAATAATGTTAAATATCTGCACTAGCAAAATGCAAAGGACTTTAAGGCATTAGCACTTCAGAGAGAATGTTAGAAAATTTTATATATTTATCATAAATGGTCGAAGTCAAAGATGAAATTCGCTCTCAAATAAAATATTTTCATATTTTGTCTTTGTTTTATACCAACAATAAGGCAAACAGATATTAATAGATACCAAAAATATAGCACAATAGGTAATGAACAACAGTTTGACCGGCTGTATATATCCCAAATCATTTATATAACAGATAAAACTCGATATAAATATGCTTACCAATTGTGAACATATTTAGTATGAATAAATGAACAGTTACACGAACATTTTCTATGAACCAATCAGCTATTTGTAGCTGTAGACGAGAGGCGTGGCTTACGGGCCAGGTTAGTGTGGAAATACTATAGATGGTCTGTCCCTCATAACGCCCTGCAAAAGTGAGGTGCTTCCCCGTTAAGAGTACTGTCACCCCGCCTAGTCCTCGAGATATACTAAAGACTGTCAGTTAATTTAAAACGTCCAAAGGAGGGCCACCAGGCTGGTGCCTGTACTGCGGTACCTCAGTTATCCTGAGAGATTAGAGTATCTGCAATTGCCTAACTTATACTATAGGCGGGCAAAGGGTAACCAAATAAAAGTCTATAACACCTGGCGGATGCCCGCCTCACTGTGGGTCACAGCTTTAGGTTGAAGATGCCACAAATTAAAATAAAAAGATATGAGGACAAACGTTTTCGGAGCGAGGATTGTGAACTCTTGGAACAATCTGCCAGAGAGCATTGTGACGGTACCAAGAGTGAGCTCATTCAAGACCAGACTTGACCAGCACTGGCACAAGTACAGATACATTATGGAACCAGTACATACCCAAGTACGTAATAGAGACGTAACCGACTGCCCAAGTGGCTAACGAGCCGATCACTAGCGAAGAGTATAAAATATAATAGACAGTATGGTCACGATCTAATATTTACCCAATTTGGGCCTTCCAAACAGTTATCTTGAACTCTCCCTTAATACTAGCTATATACAGACTTAAGGCTGTGCTCACGGACTCTGGTATAATGCGTGCATGTAAGCAAAAATAATATGTATGAGTTACCCCTAAAGTGTGATAATTTTCTGTGACTCGTTTTACATGAGTAGGAGAGCGTCAACTATACAATGGTAAACTTAAAATTATACACTAGTGTTGTGATGTGTTGCAGGTACAGTATAAAGTGTTGTGATGTGTTACAGGTACAGTATAAAGTATTGTGATGTGTTACATGTACAGTATAAAGTGTTGTGATGTGTTACAGGTGCAGTATAAGGTGTTGTGATGTGTTACAGGTACAGTATAAAGTATTGTGATGAGTTAAAGGCACAGTATAAAGTGTTGTGATGTGTTACAGGTGCAGTATAAGGTGTTGTGATGTGTTACAGGTACAGTATAAGGTGTTATGACTTGTTACAGGTACAGTATAAAGCAGGGGTGTCAAACTTATGGCCCGCGGGCCAAATGTGACCCTTGGGATGGTCAGGTGTGGCCCGCGGGATGACGGTAAAATTTATCATCCCGTGAAATTATGAAAGAAATAGATATAATCATGTTTATTTAGTAAAATGAATTTTACATACTTAAGATCAGACAAACCCAAATGAGGTATTCCTGGTAAGCCACGTAAGGCACTTGTGTTGGCCCTGAAGAGGGTAACTAAAATAAGAATTGGCCCTCGAAAGGTATTGAGTTTGACCCCACTGGTATAAAGTGTTGTGTTGTGTTACAGGTACAGTATAAGGTGTTGTGATGTGTTACAGGTACATTATTAGGTGTGGGCTTTGCTGTGACCGTCAGGGATTGCATTGTTTATCTCTTTTAAACAAAACAAAAAAACTGCAAACTTAATTAATTAACACCAATGGTATTTTCTTTATTCATATACCACATTAAAGCATATCACATCATTATTTAAGACCATTTATATATAATTATTGAAACTATATCATTTGATGAATAATTATATAGTTTCATTTAAGTAAGTAAGTAAGTAAGTAAGTAAGTAAGTAAGTAAGTAAGTAAGTTAGTAAGTAAGTAAGTAAGTAAGTAAGTACATTGAAAAGTTGGGTTGTAGTGATTCAACTAACTTGTTTACTGCGAACAGTTGAACGTGATAACGGCAGCCTAAAAAGTTTCCTTCA